AATTTTCCGGCGCTGGTGCGTATGCGAATAATTCTATGACCTTATTGCGTACTCGAAAAACCAGTGAATGAATGCTCTGTGTAGGAGTTCACTCATTCTGTCTTTAAGTTCAGAACTAACAACCGACGCCTCAGAGTGAAGTATGCGCATGTTTGTAACGTATATCGTCTAATACGGCAAAACTTTTCCAGTTCCAGCGACATCAAAGAAGTTGCTAATCATGCGAATTTTATTTTCGATATGGATTTGTTTATTTCTTTCGCCACTAATTTAAAAAAATGAGCAGCGCTAACTGAACATGATGAAATTATTTACTGCAAGATTTTTTTGTGAAGTTACGAATTCTTCACCTCGAGCCAACTTTCTTGACTTTTAAATAAGTTTAACGAATATGTATTAGTTTATTATAGTAAAAACTCAATATTTCCACATGATTTTTCTGTAAAAACGAGAGTAACTCACCAGCGATTTTTATTTGAATACCATTTGATACAATGCGAGTATAGGTTTTCATGTAAACTTGTAGAACATTCAGCGTTTGGAATTTTGTATTTTACGAAACTCTGACCTCTGGAGCACGAGCGACTGGAAGGAAACGAACGACTTGTGTTGGTCGTGTTTGGTTCAACCTTCCATTTGGTGCAGATACGCAGACGGCGACGACGCTATCTGACGCGCATCGCAACGCCACCTCGCGGTATCTCCCAAACTCCCTCAAAGTTCAGCCGCGTTTTTATATTCTTTCCTTCTCCAGCCAGACGACAGAAGTTGGTTGATCGCAAAGATTCAAAAACAGCTCAGGAGTAATTCAATATCGCAGCGTAAGTTCTTCTTTTGAGGAAATGTTAGTCAAATACAGGAAATTACTTGATGGATTTCCTTCGTTGCAACGAAGCCTCGTCGAGTGAACGGCGACGACAAATCTACTTGGAAAATTATTTTGAGTCTTGCAAACAGGAACGAGCTGGGTTGTCATGAATAAATTATGTAACTGTGTGCAGCATTGAATATCTTGTGCGAATATTATATTTTGCGTTGATGTACCTGGAGGTTTATTCGACCAGCATTTATACTAGAGTTTTAATTCAGCAACGCGAAAATTTTTGAAATCCATTTGGTGGACGTTGGTATTTTGTTTTGAAATGTTTTCGAACTAGTCGAGCAGCGTCGTCGAGCATGGAAATGGGTTTAGAATGTCAGTATCATGTTTTTAACGAGAAAAGAATGCGTGTTTCAGTGAGATTTTCTAAATTTAAACATTTTAGAATCATCGGCTAACTCATTTTTACTTGTTTTCATACTACGAAAACAAATATCCTCGGTTATGAGGTGACTCTTGAACTGACAACCCGCATGATTCTTGCACTCGCATTGCTGATCTTGACTTGACGACCATTTTTTCGTTGACTTGGCAGCTTCAAACCGCATTGAAGTATTGTTCCTTGCTTCAGGGTCGGTACATATCACTCTTAATTTTGAGTGCCTATTTTTTCTTAGTTTATATCCTGGTTTGCATTGCCCAAGAATAGCGTGAGAGTTTTCCGTCATTCATTGCGCCCTCATGGCTCAATTCTATTCTTTTAATGGTTTGTTAATTAAACACGACGGAATTTTCTGCCTCTCATGTAGAAGTTATACAATACAATTACAATTTACAACTATTTGATAACATTCTATTGAAATATTAGTCGCATCATCATTATCAGTATTATCGTCCTTTGAATTTTCCTAGTAAAAAATAACTTTAACTATCATAATGGATCACTTGTTTAATGTCTTCATAAGTTTTTCAATTTTTGTTGGGATCTTATCAATATAGAAAAGTAGATAAATAATAGAATAAAAGATTTACATAGATTTTAATAATAGATTATAATAGATGTGCAATAATTAAGGTAGTTCAGTCCCGTAAAACGAAATTCTGACGCTCATTGATTAATGCATCTGGCAATCTTCGCACACAGACATAATAATTAAACTAATGACTTTGATTTTCATTGCCTACTAATTGATTGACTGTGAAACACGCAATAAATAAATTATTAAAATCCGCAAATAATACATTGTTTTATGACTGTGAAACACGCATTAACTAAATTATTAAAATATTATTAAAATTATTAAAATATGCAGAATAATTCATCGTTTTATATGTTTTAAGTGTAAACAATTGATTTAACTATCCATTTACGGAAAAAAACTCGTTTTAATTTCAAGATGTACATTGAAGGCAATCAACCGCTATATCAGTACAGTCATCCATCACTGCGCAGCATCTCGCTACATGCCTTGCCACAGCCATTACGCTATAATACATAACATATTAAATAGTGTTGCTATAACATATAATAAAGTTTTGCTATAACGTGTAAAATAGTGTAGTTATTTATTTTAGTATTAACATGAAATTTAGTGTAGCAAATAACATAGTGTAGTCATAGCTAGTGTTGTTGCTGTGCCCCCCGAGCATTGAAAATCTAATGCAATGAATCGAGAATAAAAGCCGCATGTATGTCCACTGTCTCAAATTTGCCAGTCTCAAATGAATATTTGCCAAATAAAATTGCATACGTCACATCAATTTAGAGTAAGGCAAAGAATTATTTTGATCTGAACTACGTTTGTACTGATGTATCGTTAATGTTTAATAAACGTAACTGCGTGCTTAATTAACCAGATATTTCTTTGATAAATTCAATCCTAGACGGTAATCGAATATGTTTATAGTCTGAGACCCTTTCAAACAGTGTAACTTTGCACTTACAAGGTAATCGAAAGGTTTTGGCATTGCTTTCACAAATATTTACAGCAATTTATGACCGCCTTGCTTATATATTGGTTTTCATGACGTGAAGAAATCATTGTACTTATTATTTGTACCTTACCGAAATCAATCACTCCATTTGAACATGTCATTTACGTCGTTAGAAATCGCGCAAATGATTGACATGAGTTCTTATCGCTTGCTGTTTGTTGTTTAATGATCAAATATCCAGGCATATGTTTTATGCGATTAATCTTCCGAGATATTCACTCACTCTCAAGTTTTTTCGGATTAACATCGAGAGTTTCGTTCCCATTCTTCCATTTCGATTCGCGATGCTACTCGATTCGTATGGCGAACGTTCACTCGCATTCGGTGTACGTCAGTCAGCCAGACGCGGATCTCTTCGCAACCGCCCTTCAATTGGATTGCATTTAATGGTAATCCGAACAATTCTTCTCCCTTGACACTGATATGTACACCGACGAATTTTGTTCGCCCAGTCTCCCCATACGACGGCAATCCTCTTTAGTCGGAGAGTGCGCGATAGTAAACATGGCTCTGCTCTGCTGGAACGCGTCTGGAATGACACCGAGGCACGTTGAACGTCCTGCTACACACACACGAGGCCTGTTGCCTGTGAGCTTCACGTGCCGATAGCCTCATCACTTCTCTGATGTATTTTCCCTCTATTCTCTGAATATTTATTGATCCATAATTTATTTATTTTCGGCTCTGAGAAGTGTTTCAAGCAGGAAATAAAGAAATATTGCCCTGCAAAAAAATGAATTTTTGCCGAGTCCTTGTTTCCAAGATTTTGTAAATCAAGTTAGCTTTATTGAGGTTTTTACTAGCAAATGCTCGAATATTTGCTCGAAAACATTTCGTACTCGAAAATTACTTTGCGCACGTAATGTGGTCGTCATATTTGGTTCTTGCAAGGTTACGATTACATTAGAAAGCCAGTGCTTTCTAGTCTTTCAATGATTCCTAAATGCCTTCCGCAAATGCTCGGGTCATTATTGGTAATTTTACATTCACATGTCTTATCGTAAATGTTGCCAGAACTATAAGTGCAGCTCTTGCGGCGGTTCCAAAAGGCTTTGCCATTTTTTGAATTCGTTGTTGACGCTATAGTGGTTGAAAAGTTTGTATTCGCTTCTAAATTCACATTTGATTAATAATTTAATTAATACTGTAGAGAGTTCGTTCTCCGAACAATTAAACAGTGAGATGGTAATGACCGTTACGGGCTCTTGTGGGTTACAGTTGGCATGCTTTGAGCTGTAGCTCCTTCCCTACTTTGCATCAGCCGTGCGCTCTAAATTGTAGCCGTCATCGGAGCCTAATTGAGAGGCCATTACGCATACCATTTGCGAGGGCGACGACGAAATGGGACGACCGCTGTAGTAATATTTTCTAATTTCAGTGCTCTATTAATCGATTCTTGTTTACCTTGTAACATGTCTACTGTATAATTTAGTGTTGAACTCTTCCATTAATCGAAATTGCATGATGTAGTACTGTACATGTAGGCTCCGTCAAATTACTAATTCAAATAATGTTTCATATCTTTTTATGAATTTCTTTTAAAAATGTTTAGTTGAAGCTGAATTTGGAAATCGTCTGTGCAAAAATTTTGTGCTGCAACTCATTTATACGCTGGCATACACGCGCCCTGCCTCATTCGTCAATCTACTTACCGTATAAGCCGTGTCTCAAGCCCGTGATGGCGTGCGTTTTTCCCTCTAATGTTATTCATAAAGAAGGTTATTGTGCTTCTAGCGCTCATATCCTGGCCGTTATGTCGCGTTTCCTGCTCGCTTCCATTGTCGCTGTTTTTTTTTCGCGCGCGGGATGCAAATCTGAGCGCGGGTTTTGCTCTTTGGCTGCTGGAGAGGTGACGGATCTGCCTTTGTTGCGAAGGCCCTTAAACTCTTCCTCTGGAGCGTGACTTGGACGCGACGCGACGCGCTTGCTGAGTTGCATACGACGCGCTACAAAACGAAGCAACCGCTGAACTCAATCTTGAATTCCCGCTTTTTCTTACGTTGTCTTACGTTTTCTCGTTACAGGCTCAAATATTTTCTAAGTGTCTATCAGAATTAATAGTAATTTTATGCAAGATATTAAGCCAGAATGTGACTTGGATCCGATTTTTGGAAATAAGTTCTCTAAAATTTAGTAAGCCATAGTTTATACTATAACTGCAAATTTTTATTTTATCCTTCCTCAGATCTTTCCTCTGGCCGGTCCCGTCGAAGGTGGCACGTTAGTCACAATCGAGGGAAGTAACTTGGGTCTGCGAGAGGAAGACGTTCACGACAACGTCTTCATCGGGAACGTTCCTTGCGCCGTTCGTGACTATCACATTTCAGTAAAGATCATTTGCCGCACCGCCCCAGTCTTCAGGGACTCTGACTCCCAGGATCTGCAGTTCCCAGTCCGCGTCACTACCCCAGCAGGCACAACGACCTCCACCGTCAAGTTCACATACACAGTAAGATACAAGTAGATTTATTTTCACATACACAGTAAGATACAAGTAGATTTTTTCACATACACACTTAGATACAATTAGATTCGTCGACGTCTAAGACTGAACTTTTTCGCAGAGCCTTTGAATGTTGGGGCATAGTATTTTCTTATCCGTTCTTATCCTTTCTCGTACTTGTGGAACGTGCCCTCGAAGTTCAGTTGAATCAGACGCCTTGTCGATCGCTTCGTAGAGTAGTAATATGTTGACTTCAACCACGACTTGATTCTCTTATTTGACGATTTCATTACTATATTCCATTACTGATGTTTCATTTTAGCGTATTAAATTTAAATAATCCCCTGGAAAACAATGGAACCGTAGAATACAGTGTCGCATGTTTTCGGGCGCAGACCTAAAATTATCTGGGTAATTAAAATTAATCTGTTGCCACATTTCGGGAGACTAATTTGTTTTCTCCATATTATTGAGCTTCGTTGTCACTTGATAACTAGGACCCTTTAGTCTTCATGTTACACTATCAAGAATCATATTCTCCATTTGAGCTAAGGCATAGCAATCCGCTAAAGCGTTTAATCCACTATCGTCGAGCGGCTGTCATCGGCCTTGTCACCACACAGAGCAGCTAACCGTATCACTGCTATTGCTCCCTCCCCAAAGACACGTGACCGACCAATCTTTGCCTTCCGATGTCGGGGCGAAACGTTATTCGTTCCATTATCATCTCTCGGCAAGATTTACGATTTTGTTCCGCTCCCACAGTCATGAGACGAATGCCACGACTTAATTGGCGCAACAGGGCTAGCACCGGCTACATGTCGCGGCCGACAGTTATTCTCATTTACCGAATTTAATATTGTTTGCCATGTCTCAATCGTGTCGAATCAAATTTCTTCACTGATTGCATTCCATCTTTTATAATTTCTTTTGGAAGTATTAAATTTCACTGGATCTCGTCATTTTCTTGGCTACGAACCTCATGATGATTTTTTTCCTAAATATTACTGAGAATTCAAGGAATTCAATGCAATCACCGTGACTGCTATTTCTTTCAACAAAACATCTATCATATGTTTGTCCATTTTTGTTTACATTTTTATAGCGTACATGACAATCGCCAAATATTATACTTAGACTTTAAGTCCAAATGAAATTTGAGTAATAGTTATATTTTTGCTCGTTTATTCGCAGAACATAAGCGTGTCGGGAGTGTGGCCGTCCATGGGTCCCGTGTCGGGTGGCACGACGCTCTCAATCAGCGGGCGCTTCTTGAATGTAGGCTCTGAAGTGACAGCTTTTCTGGACGACTTACCATGCATCGCCAATAAGACGCAGTCGTCTTCTCAGCGTTTAGTGTGCGTCACCAGCGCCACTCAACTGCCAGGATCTAACGGCGCAGGTGGAGGATATCCTCTGCAAGTGCGCACTCTTACTGTCAAACTAGACGGCGCTACTCGAGTCCTCACAACGCCCTTCACGTACACTCCTGATCCTTCCATTGTTGATATCAAACCGCTGAGGAGCACGTGGGATGGAGGCCGCATGATTACTGTTCACGGATCACACTTGAACTCGATTCAATCTCCAAGAATTACAGTACTTTATAATGAAGAAGTTCTCAATACATCAGTTTGTTTTGTGCATTCACCAGCTTTAATGGAGTGCCCATCGCCAACGTTAGACCAGGATATGGTCTTGGCCCTCATTGAACAAGGCAACGGCCAAAGACGCCGTCGAAGACGAAGAGCTCGTGATCGCACCTCAATGGATAGAACTCCAAGAGAATCCAGTTACGCTTTTGAGGAAGTCATTCTCGACCTTGGTTTCATTATGGATGGTGTAAAATCCGTGCAGCATTTACGCAAACATTTTCCGGAAGTGCGTTCCCATGTAACTTACGTTTCTAATCCCGTCTACTTTTCATTCCAAGGCGGTCTCAAACTCTACAAAGGAGACACTTTAGTAATCGAGGGTGAATTTTTGAACGCTGCCGCTGACGAGTCAGATGTACGCGTCACGATAGGAACCTCTACATGCAATATGACGTCTCTAGCCAGCACTCAGCTTTTGTGCTCGCCTCCTGAGGACCAACCTACCCCCACTGACGAGAGAGGTGTCACCACGTCGGAGCTTCTACCAATGGTGGTGGTGCACGTGGGGCGGTATCAGCGATACCCACTCGGTGTCCTGCGCTACGAGAAAGATGTGGGTTTCCTATTGAGCCCCGAAGGAATAGCTGGACTGGCCGGCGGTGCTCTCTTCATCGTCATCGCATCCTTCATCGCCATGGGTATCTACCGTCGTAAGTCATCCCAAGCTGAGCGTGACTACAAACTCATGCAGCTACAAATGGATAGCCTTGAGAGCCATGTACGAACGGAGTGCAAGCAAGGTTAGTGATGCTCATATTCATGTGCAGTTGTATATATTTTTTACAGATATGTTATGAAATTACTTGATTGGAATTTACATAGTTGTGGAAACTTTATAAGACAAGTTAGGGTTGCGGCATTTGATAACCTAGAATTGAGATACATGATATCATATATGTTTTTTGTAATAGCCTGATCGTTTTAATGCATTTCTTACCGATTTCACTATAATTAGTTCACAAGTATTTAATATATATTCTTGTTCCGTACTTTCTTACGCCGTGTATCCGCAATTATTATTTAAAAAGATAATTCTCAAGCTATCAAAGTTAGGTGGATAACAAGCTGAGCAATTTTATTCCTGACGTGCGCAGCGTTCGCTGAGCTGCAGACAGACATGACAGATTTGACAGCTGACCTGCAAGCCTCGGGCGTCCCTTTGCTCGGCCTCCGCTCGTACATCATGAAAGTCTTCTTCCCAGGCGTCTCTGACCACCCGATCCTCAATGAACCCAGGGTGAGCATAGTAGTACTTACTTCAACTTTACATTAATACATTCTCGTGCAGGTGTTGAGGTAACTTTAAAAATATTGTCGAAAAATATTAAAAAGTATATTGTCGTTTCATTTGCCTGCTACGGTATCAATTCATTTACTGTGGTTCTATGAAATTTCACAAGGAAACCTGTTTGGGCGCTAGTTTCGATGGATGATTCTTAATAGGTAAGTGTACATCTATGTGTTCATCCTGGAGCTGCTAAATTTCATTCTTGGAAGTAGTCAATTTGCTGATCATTTTTCTAAACACTTATCGGTGTTATGAAAAGGTACCATAATAATAATTCGAGTTTTCAAACTCGACTTTGATTTTAATAATGTTCATCTTTCTTAGTTTGATGTAAATCTTCAATTTTAATTCTGTGTTAAAAAATCCGTTTAAACGCATTATATCTTTCAATTTGCCGTGCTTTAACTCGTGTTCCCTTCATTCCTGGCATTGCACAAATCAATTTGTGGCTACAATGACTTGCCATGCATGCATTTGTGGCACAGAATCTCTTCGAAAGATTTTGCTCGGCGATAGATCATTTATCAGTGGGATGAAGATGGATCAATGGTGCCACCATTCGAGTCTGGGGCATGAAAATGAGTGCTGTTCTCGACTCAAATCTTGGGCAAGATTTATCGATCGGTCGGCATGACTCGACTGCTGATTGATTCTCTCGCTCTCGAGCTGCGTTTTTCCCTCAGCCTGCCTCTTATGTTTTTGTCACATTTTCGCCTGGCGCTTCACTGATATTTGTTTCTATTTAATCTCATATTCAGGTTACATTATTATATTATTATATGAGATGACTTTACTTAAACGAATACCTATGGAGTGTCTTTGTAAAATTCAGATTTTTTCTTTCGTGTAACGGAAAAAAATGAAATCAAGACTTGAGTTCAGAAATCATTTGAAAATTTCAATTTAGCTTTAATTTGTTCACGAAATAATTTGTCACCTGTCAATCTCGGGGACAAATTTGTGTATTAAAATAATTTGTCAATCTCTCAATATTTTCCGTAATTATAAGAATCCTGATTGATTGACGTATTCATTGTATGATCTTCATGAGGTAGTCAACGGCTTTTAACTAACATGATATAAATTTTATCTGGTGCAGAATTTATCAGGCGGACGCAGTAACTACGACGTAGCGATGTTGCAACTCGAACAGCTGATCGCAAACAAGCATTTCCTTGTGGTGCTTGTCGAGGCCCTAGAAGCTCAGAAGACCTTCAGCATCCGAGACAAGTGAGCTGCAATAATTTGCCGATTGTTCTCAGTTAGGCATTTTAGCGATTTTTCATTTTTCCCAAAACTCAAAAAAGTTAAATTATATGAAAAGCTCTTTATATGCAACGACTGTTTAGTAGTGTGTTGCCGGATGTTTAATTTCAAGTAATGTAGAAGGTGAGCAACATGAGCAAATGTTGTTAAATTAAGTACATCGAGAGGCAGTCACCGCTCAAATCAATCCTGCATTTTTTGCATACAGGGTGAACGTGGGGTCCCTGTTAACTGTGCTGCTCATGGGACGCATGGAGTACCTGACAGAGATTTTACGTCTGCTACTCAGTCGCCTTATTTACGTGACGGCAGCGAACAAGCATCCCCAGCACATGCTACGCAGGACCGAAACTGTCGTTGAGAAAATACTTACCAACTGGTTTGCGCTCACCATGTACTCCTACTTGAAGGTAAAACACTTTTATTTTAATTAAAATGTGAGAAGCAGCATTTAAAGTAAAATTAATATCGATGGTTATTTTTTATTTTCTTTACTCGGATTCACATTAATTTTTTAACGGACAAATATTTTTTTAAGTGCCATTATCAATATAATATATTCTTTACAATATATAATCATTATAAGTGCGACATTTTTTTTCTCTTGACTGTCGCGCGGTTTTCTTATGATAGAATCTGTCGTGTTACAGAGCGAATCTGGCAACGCGTTATTCCTGCTGTACAAAGCGATCAAGCACCAGGTGGAGAAGGGGCCCGTGGACGCCGTCACCCACGACGCCCGCTACTGCCTCTCAGAGGAGCGTCTCCTTAGGGAGCAAATCACCCACTCCCCCGTCGTGAGTACTGCCTCATAACCTTCCTCACCTGTCGCGACTACTTCCTCATAACCTTCCTCACCTGACACGAGTACTCCCTCATATAAAAATAACCTTCCTCACCCGTCATGAGTAAGTCTCTCCTCCACTCCTCTGCCGTGTCGCTCTTGCTCGCCTTGTATCGCTCGGTCGCATAATTCCTGGGTTTGTTCGATTTTAGTGACTTTTCTTTCCGGCCGCTCTTTAGAGAAAATCACGAGCACAACCATCACAGATGTTTTATTCGGGAAGACAACCACCCTCCAACCAGCCGCCATTCCATGTATTCTCTGGACTCTCGTAATATGTCTCTTCAATTTGAGTCTTGTTAGAAATTACTCGGTGTGAGCTAAAAATTTTCAAATAAATCCCTCCTACTAATGAAGGTTTCTCCTACTAAAAGTTCCTCCTACTTGTTAAGTTTGTCAGACTCACCGTTTTTATGCGTTATGAAAAATCGTTTGCTCTGATTAAACAAATATATATTACGTAGTCAAGCTCGCAAATATTAAGAATCTTAATCTGTTTTCAGTGTAAAAATGAAAATAATTTCAAATTCCAATTTCGGCATCAACAATTTTGGGTGCGGTATTAGTTAATTATGTTTGGAAGCATGTTTGGGGGATGGGAGTGTCTGTAGTGGTCGTGGCCTCCGTGGTATAAAGCAATAAATCAATTAAGGCGCGCGTGTGTGGACGTGTTAGGTGTTGCCTGCTGCACAGCACCATGTGTTGTAACACCTCCCAGCCGCTCCTGGATCATGTTGCACCAGCACCCTGTCTTGCTTACCCATATCATACTGTTTCGATGCGTTCTGTATCCATGTATTAATATTATATTTATATATTAATATAGTTTTAATTTAGTTTTAAAAGACACTTCGATGAAAATAAAATGTTACTCACTGTAATATTGAAAACTTTTGTTCATAAAAAATGTAGGCCTATCATCATTCCATTGAATGGTTTTAGAATAATCCTAATGTTTTAGAATAATCCTAATGTAACTTAGAAAATTGTGCGATCCTTAAATTTTGTGAGTCTAGTGATCATGAAAATGAAAGCTCGTTTTCACGGACAAATTCCCTGATTCAAGAGAGATAGATGACTACATAATAAGCCTAATTACAACACTTCTCTTTAACTTCACTTCTTGTTTGTTTGTTTGTTTGTCTGTCTGTCTGTCTGTCTGCTACAAATCTTGTAATCGAAATTTAACACACTTCTACTTATCCTATCAATCTAAAATTTTGTACACTTGTGTAAAGTTGGAGACAATGCATGAATCAAATGTCAAAATAAATGATTTTAAAAATTAAATTTTTTTTTTCAATATTAAAAAAATTGAAAAAATAATTTTGTCAGCTACAAATCTATGAGAAATTCATTGTACATCTGTAAGATTGGAGACACTGGATTCTTTTGAAGTGTTGTCTTTAAAAAGTAATTTTTAAACGTATATTATTATTAATATTCAAAAATTAAATGAGAAATTCATTGGACATCTGTAAGATTGGAGACACTGGATTCTTTTGAAGTGTTGTCTTTAAAAAGTAATTTTTAAACGTATATTATTTTGTTACCAAGTTCTCCTACTGCTGTTTTATTGGCAGGCTTTTTTTTTTGTATAGTCGAAAATAAAACGCTGATATTCTAGCAGAAATTCTCAGAAATTTTATTATAAATTTTAAGTTTGATGGCAATGGTAATGAACTGAGTGTGCTCAACACGTATTGCCCAGCTCCGTCCGTTTAGCCATTCAGTATAGTAGTCATTTGTCCCTCTGTGAAAACGCGTATCTGCATAATGTATTAATTTTTATGTGATATTTCTCCAATTACTAATCTTCGTTGAAATTTGATGTTACTGTAACAATTAATTTTTACTGGAACATCATTTTTGAAGTGCACGTAGATTAAACCCTAGGCATTTCAATGTCAATAAACCACAAAAATATTTTTCTTCATATCGTATTCTTATGCAGTTATTTTTGGTTATTGTTTGTGTTTATTTTCTGGAGCACTTTAGGGCGCACGGTAAATTTAGACCAAGTTTTCCCTCTTGCAATGAACAGTTAGCGCATGAGCTGAGCGTACTCCATAAATTGCTCATGGGTGGGGAATCTGTGGCTCTTTTGATGGTTTGAAGAGCGTGTAGCCGCACAATACATTCCTTGCTGCTGCTGCTTCACCATGTATAATGCATGGGGCCGATCACGGTAGTAGAGCGGCTCCCCTTCGTCCATCGCTCTCCCTCCTGTCTTCACCATAACTAATTCCATCCTCCCCTGCACACCATCATAATTTACGGCGCCATCCCCATTAAAAAGAATCTCCTTCCCTCGAGTGTGTTTTTTGCTAGCGTGTGTGGACGGACCGCTGTCCGTCCGTCTCGCGTCGAGCGGCTTGATCTTCCTCCTGCCTAATGCTGTCCAGAAAAAAACCTAGGCTCGGTTAGGCTGAGTAATTGCCTCTGCTTCCTATTGTCCCTTCGATAGTCCTTGTCTTCGTACGCTGCGTGTATTTATGTACGCATTACACATCTACTGCTCCTTAGGCTAGGATTGCTTGTCCTGAAAAATATGTACGGCACACCATTTTTTGTTGGCCCCAATCCCTTCACTATTTACATGCAATTTATTAAGTGGTTGATAAGAGCGTGACAAAGATATACTCATGAATTCCAGACACCGAAGGAGTTCATTTAGAGAACTCCTTCACTGAAAGTAATTAGAGTTTTTATAGAGGCGCATAATATTCCTGATATAAATTTGCATCATTAGTTATGTATAATCATCACGCTTTGAATAATTTTCTTTAATAAGCTGCACGATATGTTTGAAAGTACTGCGAATTGCCCCGTAATTCAAACAGTGTATTGATGAGACATAGACCGTCGCCTGACATTGTTGTCTTGATGTCGCGCAGCCTTTCGATGCACAAGCACTGCCGTTGATCTCCGTGGACGATGCACCATCCATCAGCGATAGCTGGGCGCATGGGAGGGAAAACCTCGCCACTTTATCGCGCGCTCCCCTCCTCATATAGCGCATCGTGGCTGCCCCAAATCTGCTCTTGAAAATAGCCCCATATCATTTTTCTATCGAGAGCTTCGTGTTTCGCCTTTAATTTTGTAAACCATGTTCTCAACTCTTCCTAGTTTCTCTGTAAAAGTTCATCTTCATAAACCGTTGTCTTCACTCCGTTCGTATTGACGCTGCACCTCTTGATTATTTTCATTTTGCTTCTTCTGTTTGTGTACCCTGCATTTCCGATCATCTCGCCATTAAGTTTTTTTTTGCGTCATCGTCTATATCACTATTTCGACTTGAGAATAAGTCGTTTGAATAACTGAAACTCTTTGTACTTTACCGACTAATTGGATTTGCAGATATTGTCAATAATACTGCGAAATTATTTGATTTATTTGATATATTTTGCAAGAAGTCCAGCGAAGTTTTTGACGTTTTTTTTTTTCTTACTGCTTCAAAGCTCTCGTGAGTCTTGACCACGCCCTCAATATGATTAAGTCGTCTGGCAGTAAATTTGGCACTACACCATAAATTTGATATCTTATCATTAATCATAATAAATCATCATGGAGGTAAAATGTGATCTTGCGATTCACGGAGCTGTGTATGCAATTAGTGAAACTCGTTTCTATATATGAAAGGGCATTTCCCTTCATTTGCGATGTTTATAAACAGGTATATTATTTTTTTGACTCCGATTAACTGAAAGTACTTAAATTCATTCTCCCATATAAATCCCCATTATCATTGCCAAGCATTTGTGATTCGTCAATTTAATCATGGATTCCTCATTCAATGCTCAGCGTTCAGTCTGAACGTTACAACTCTGAAATTATTAAGTTTCTGAGTGTTTATCGAATTTCTTTCTGAACTTCTCGTATTTTTTCTCGTTTTCAAATGTAATATTATAAACCCTTTCTCCCTGCTGCGCTTCAGGTAGGTTGTTGGCGATTCCAATGTATATATCAGTTTTCTGATGGTTATGTCAGGATGTTCTATGGGCCGAGCGGCACAGTCGGTTGTTGTGGCTAGACGAATGGTCGCGCACTATTCCAAAACGAGCGCATTATTGATATGGTTTGGAGGCTGTTGTTGCTGGCGCTTTACTCAAATGCCTGCCATTTAGAGCAGCGCTCGATAGAGACGTTACTTTGGACCCACGCTCCTCAGGTCGACTCTCTTATTCATTGCCAGCGCTGCGACTGCCGGCATTGTTTCCTTACTCGAAGTCTCGCCTACAAATGGAAAGTCCTCTCGAGAGGTCCGCCTGGGTCGGCCTATTTTTTCCCCATCGTTGCCTCCGCATTCAATCGACGGGCGGATTCAATCCCGTAACATATTGAGGTTCCGGTCAAATTTGATTTGGAGCGAATTTCTTGGAACAACGATTGCGATATTTTGCAGATATCTAGATGAACGCATAAGGTTTTATAATCATTAAAAAAGTATATGTCTCAAAAATGTTTCCTCACTGTCAAGCGTATTTCTCTCTAAAATGTTCCGCAGAATTGAATGAATTTTTAAAAATTTTTAAAAATGTGTATCCCGACAATACAACTTTGGAAGAATGCTCACTTTTTTGCGAAAAAAGTTGGATTCGCTACGGTCCTGTGCTGGGCTGAGCGCGCTGCATGTTTTAATATTACTCACACCGCGACACTTGAGAAATTACTCGCTGGGGGAGAGAAAAGCCGCTGATTGCTTTCGTATTCATGCGGCCGAGGGAGGACCTCATAGCGGCGTTCTCGCACCAATGAGCAGGAAGCGGTCGCCCGCTCCACAGCTCACTTTTGCTGTGACGTTGTTGTCCCCATGTTAGCTTCATTTAGTACTACGTCTAATTTGCTGCTATATTATACAATATAGTTCCTAAAGTAATGTAATAAAAACGTTTCACTGTTTGATTTACTTAGTTAAACAATTTTAGTATGTATTGATTAATCATTATTTTCATCAGTGAATATTGTGTGAAGGAAAGAAATATATCTGTGAATATTTCTTTCCTTCATTCTAGATTGTTGTTTATATTTTTTTACTGGCGTGTGTTCCAAGTTGCGTGGATATTACTCTTATTTCACGTTCTTTAAATTGTTACTCTCTCTCTGTCTTATTTCACGTTCTTTAAATTGTTACTCTCTCTGTGTCCTAAGTCTATGCTAACAAAATTGAACTATTCATCGACCCGACGGTTCCAGGTTCCTGCTCGTGCATGATGTCGCATGTGAGCTCCCTGCAATTTGTCACTGTAATAATATCTTGGTGTTAACCCGTATTCCGGTTCCGAGGCTCATCTAGACTCTAGTGAAATATTAGACTGTACTGAGATAACGCAAAATCGAGAGTTCAATTTTAATTTAGTTTACACTACTTCCAAATTTTGTCACTTAGATTTCTTGGTTTCATTATTATTCATGTAACGCAAGTCCTGTTAAGTAACAAAATTTCTGTTTTCGCGTATATCGTTTTTCTGAGGGTCATAAATATTCAGCGAGGTTGTTTTCCCAGCGCCCTATTTAGTTGTTATTGTAGGATGTGGAGCTCGTTGCTGGTGTTTTCACATGTTTAGGCAAAGGTGCGTCGGTAGCGCACCATTGATTATGCAATTTAGCGAGATGGAGCAATTCTTCTCTCCGCGACGCACCTGCCAGAGCGCAATGGGCCGTCTCACGAACCGAGCTCGTCTCCCGCCACTGAGCCGATAATATAATGATTTTTGAAAGCTTGTAAAACTTGGTTACTTTATCGTCTATTATGAGTTTACCGTGCATCGACTCAATTTAATAACGATAACCTTTCAAAATCGTTTCTCATAAAATCAAATCAAAATGTTTTCTTGTTTTATTATGGTCATCTAAGGAGTATTTCCATTATTTCTTTCGTCCTGCCTCCTCATATTCGATTTATCTTTAGTTTATTCATTGCAATAACATTGAAAGTTAGTTTGTCAGTCGTTTTCATATGTTCTGCCACGTGACTGATAACAAAACTTTTTGCCACATCCAGGAACGACCTAAATCACTAATTTTGTAATTAGCATGCAAGCCTCTGTCATGCCAAATCGTTTGATCTGAAGTGTGAGACCTGCTGTAGGTGTCCCTGGAAATTTTTGCATTTTTGGATCAGCTGCAGCTCGCAACGAAGCATAGCTTGTGTACAGTAATCCTTTTTGTTGTTGATATTTCCTGTTATTTGTTCCTTTCAACACAGATGTTAGCTACTTCTCATATGCTAGATGCAATCAGAAAGAATTATCGTACTGCAACAATTATTGCCTTTATCACAACTATATTATGTCAGGATGTATGATATTAATTTTTTTGGCGGATGAGATTGAATATGAAAATAATTTGTAAAGGGAACCTCTAAAGGTCATTGATTGAAAATTTACTCTGATTCAAGGCTTATCGTTCAACTCCATCTCATAACATTTCAGATGAGGAAATTTATTCCGCAGTTTTTTTCTGTTTTACTGTGTTGTGCTAGCGAAAAATTCACTTTGTAGAGCGGGATGTATTGAATGTCAGGCGTCATAATGTGAGCGTGTGATCCTAACCAGCTGATGAGGCGCCATTTACTTGAGATATCTGGCCATCAGGCCGATAAATTGCTGCCTATCTATAGCCTACCCACCCGGCCTTGGCTTCTCTTCTCTAGTTGAACTTTCCGACCGACCGCTTCAAGCTCACAAATGTTTCGTTTTTTAACCTCGGAAAAATGTGTTCTTCGTTTTAGCGGCACCTCGTTCGATCTCAGCGCTATTTATTTTTTGGGTTCAAGGTATTTTTCGCTGCTACTTGTAAAATTCTACGGTAATTCATAGTAAATATATGTTCTTTACACGAGTATCCGCACTAATTTCTGCGATCGTGGTGATGGTTCTTTTAGTTTTCTCTCAATTCCCGCAAATTTCAGAGCAATAAATGTGATTACAAATGAAATGTTTTTGTTTAACGATAGACTTTTCCTTCATCTTCTCTTTCCTTCCTTCAATGATTTAATTATTTGCACTCTTTGGCTTGAGAGAATTCTCATTTAATTCCAACTTCAAAGTTGTACAAGAACTTTGATTGGCTGAGCCAGTGTCGTTTCCACTCGTAAGTTTTCGTTAACCCCTTCAAGGAGCATCACTGATCCGAGAAAAGCGATTTACGGTTCCGCAGCCGATATTTCTAACGCTCAGAAAAAGTGCCGTGGCTCAGTTACAAATGGTCTAAGTTGTGGAGGTGGACACTTGCGTGAAGTAATTGCTCTCGTCCCGATGTAGGAAGTGCGCAAACTTTTCGCCAATATTTGACTTCTTCCTATCACAGTATTTGTTTTCTTCTCGTTTGTTTGATAAATCTCTTTATATCGAATTTTCACTGTGACTGATCTTACATTCATAAGATTATTCGTTGAAACTTGTGTTTATGCTCAGCATATTAGATTTATTCATACTAAGGCATATTTTTATTGCACCTATTACTTTACAAGTTAATTTGAACCTATACCCTTAGCTATTCTGTTTGTGCTCTAAAGTGAATTCTGTTTCTGTAACGGTTACCTCCAATAATTGCTACCATTTAATTTAGCATTCCGCTTATGCACAATGCACATGCATTTTTGGTAAAACATCGTTCAACCTTTTTGATTTAGTGGAGAGTGCACATCGATGGGTTGTCCACATTACAATCTCTGTTAGTGAAAAATAAGAATTTACCCAAAATGGACAATGGGTCTTGAAGTGACATTTGCCTTGTTGCGTTGCCTCAAATCATGTAGCTGTTAAGTGAAAAGATCGTCTCAACGATCTTCTGAAATTCATTGCTTCGCTTTCTTAACACACGAATGCTTTCTCTTCGTTGCAGACTATCCACCTCCTTCACGATGACCCTCATTATGAGAAAATACCCTACCAGACCACCTACAGTGTATGTATCCCTTGTTAAATCCCACATCTTACCAAATCAGGAGCGAACCTGTTAAATGGATGAAATAAACTGCACTTTAAAGCATGCATTTTCTGCTTATTTTTACGTTTTTTTTACAGTTTATGAATTTATGGAGTTTATAATTTTATATTGGAAAAACATTCTCTGATTGAATTTAAATTCGACACGAATTCCTGACTTTTTCGTCTAAAATAAATGTGAATTTATCGTACAAAAAGACTTTGGGTATTTTCAACATTAATTCAATGGTTAAGAATATTTTTTAATTTTCAAAATTTGTGTGTTTGTGTGTATCTTGTGCATGTATTTTTGAAACCCAATTAATTTTTTTAAACTTCAAAGAAAATCTGCCAAACTGTAAGAACATGTTGCCGTGTATTTCAAGTGCATCGTTATAACCCTTTAGAAATTCATTCTGATAAAATTTTTTTAAGCACACGAACCTAGTCAGCTTCCACTTTTACTTTTAGTTAAAACACAGCGTCAAAACATTTTCACCGCGGATTTTGCCCAGAAGGTTTTCTTCTTTCTCTTGTGCGTTAATCCTGTCGGTGGTTTGTTTTATTATAATTTGTAAGCCGCATGAAAAGCCTTGAGATAATTCGCTAACTTGCTTCTCTTTCCTCAACCTAGACTGTGGCAGCTTACTCAGAGGAGTACGAGGAGAAGGTGCAGGTCAAGGTGCTTGACTGCGACACCATCAGTCAAGTGAAGGGCAAAATTTTAGATGCGGTCTACAGAAATTCGGCTCAATCCATCCGGCCTTTCGTGCACGATCTCGATCTCGGTAAGCGATCTCATTTACATCTCGAATTCATGTCAATTTGCTGCCTTTACCAGAAATTTTTGTCGTTATTAATGTGTGTGATGCATAAAGGGTGAGGTGGGATTCCTGAGTTATGTGTATAAATCTTTGTATCTTGATGACGATGATCGTTTCAATCACCAGTTTTTGTATTATCATTCATCACAACGAACCTGTATTCTAGTACACTTTGTTAGATATTATCACTTGAACAAAATTCAATGACTACGTTTTTCGCTTGCACAGCTTTTTAAAATGTCAAACGTCTTACGTTTTATCTGGATTCGACGATTCAATTTCCTATCCATGATTCACTCTTCTTCCATGAGCGATCTCATCTGCCGTGCGCGGCTCTAAATACCCGTCGCTCAGCAGCGATGTGTGAGGCTTTTCCGGATTTGCATCGGGAACATGCAAGAATCTTTTCTGGAAGAGTCGCGCATTTCCATTCTAATTTTATCTTTGAATAAATGAGGACTGCTTTTTGTGTCTCATCAAGAAGGGCTTTGCGACCGAACGGCGTCCTTAAGATGACCTGAGCCGTAACATGCTGACATAATAAGCTTCTTTTTTCTGGAGACCTGCAACCTCAGGTGACATTAAATACTTATTTAGCACGAATTCTTTTTCGTCGGGATATATTAAGTTAGTTCAGTGACGAGAAGATTTCCTTCACAGACCTCAGGTCAAAGATCTTATTTGTTTCTATTCAGGCCGGTAATTACGACGAAGGTCGTTTAATTCGTTTCTTGGAGTGATCACAACGATGTTTGGCTGATGCGTGCCTGTCTTGCATTCACCGACGACCGTGAAGTAGTTGTATTTTTTAATCTAGCTGCATAACAAAGCCGTGCGTCTCACCATATAAGAACTTCGATTATGGACCGTCGCCGTATCAGCGGTCTCATCTGAGTCCCGAGGTGCTGACCCTTTGACTTCGAAGACTTGGATACGCTGCACCACTTTCACTCTGCCGCGTTCTTCCACTAATCTTTCCCAGGATTATTCATTCGATAGATTCGTGGATCACAGGATACTTATTTTTCATATTATTAATTATACTTATGCAGTGTTTACCCATATATGTACGCCGTTGAGCCGTTATCCCGCGAGCGTAAATTATTGTATTTTTCTGATGCGCGAAAAGTCTTGTATTTTTTACCGCGAAAAGATCTTAACTGCAAAAAAATATGTACGTAACGCAGCTCTACAATCTATCACATGAAACATATCTCTAAGTATCAAATTTTCAATCATATTTTCATGCTTGTACATCTGTAAAGCTGTCGTAATTTATCTCATATGAGCAACTGAAATTCGGTAGGCTCCCAAACTGCTCTTTTCACACATTAAGCGCTGTAAATTTTCTCATTGCCGAAATTTTTAGTTCTAAATTTATCATAGTTGGATCACAACTTATGTTATTGATTTCATAGCTTTATTGTACCTAGCTAATTTGGCAGAATTTGAAGTTTTAGTGTCACGCTGAACAGACTCGCGTTTCGCTTCTATCTCTTGACATGTGCTACATCCAAGTAGTTCGCTTCGCTATGATTTTTATTCCGATTTCTGGATACAAGTGTGATCCATTTTACTTATCCATATTATTACACAGTTTATCAATTGCGGGAAAACATTGTAAGGATGTGTTGTGTGGCGTAACGAATACGTGTCGAATTATTATGAGCGTGGTGAGATAAGAATGAGTGTCACCCTTACACTTTCTCTGGTATTGTCCCACTGGAGAAAGCCGTGCTGCATGAAGCAAATCCTAATGGTAGGATGTTGTTGCAGCTCCAGCCCAACCTGTGAACTCTATTGGCTGGAGATTACAGAGAGTTTCCATTAGAAGGGCTGTCATTCGTCTCAACTTGGCTTTTCTTATAGCCCCTCATGGACCTCAGCCTAACTGATAAATTTAACCCTTTGCTAAGAAAGGTCTGCCTCCGTGTACATTTGCGAAGACAGCTTACTCATGTTCTCGATGATAGATGCGGCTCATCTTTTGACTTGGAGCATTCCTGATCCATCTGAGTGGGATTAGAGACGGCCTTCGCCCTACTAATTCTTATATTGTTGTTACTTTGTTCGCGTAATCCGTGCTTTCGAGTTCTTATTCATGGTTTATTGACTCAGCAGAATTTCGACAGTATTAATACCTACATCTGTTAAAACGCTTTCCTTTAAAATAATCAAACTTTATAAGTGAAAAGGGAGCAATTCTCTTCTTAATTATTTTTAATTTTAATGTCGTTTTTGTATCTTAAAAAAACGGAATGTTTTTAAACTGGCGAGTATATTGATTCAACTTCCTTCTCTCTATTTGGTTCAGACAAATTTCCAACGAAATCTGTCATTTCGTGCAAACTTGTGCATAGATCTAAATTTTTGTCGTCCAGGTAGAATAGGTATACAGAAGTTATTTATATTCAGTGTCACTGGATCCCGTAATTAAAGACTTCTATTCATCAAGTGTAGTATAAACAGATAATCACCTCGATTGGGCTGTGATGTAGGGACAAATATGAATAGTCATTCTCATATGTTTCAAAGGCTTTATTCGCAACATAACCGCTGTCTCGTTTCCGTGCAAACCAGAGTGGCGTCACGGACAAGCTGGACGAGTGACGCTGAGCGACTTCGACCGTACAAGTGTAGTGCAGAATGGCTGGTGTCAGATGAACACTTTGCAACACTACGGCGTCAAAGACACCGCGATCATGGCTCTCTTGCCTCGACAGAGCGATTCTACGTACTCATCTTCTAATTGTAAGTTTATTCTTTGAACTATTCTGTCTTACAATTTGATTTTTCAGCTATGGTTCATCGTATACTGTTAGTTCCAATATAATTTTGTGTGACATTAATTATTATATCATTAATTAGTTTACTTGTGTAAACTAAATAATGTTATAATGCTGCGATCCCTTCAAAACATTTGCATGATTCATCCCACGAATTAAAATGAATCTATCATTTTTTCCTGTTATTCTTTATTTTCCTTCTCTGTTCCACCCTCCTGGTGATCACCTTAACTGTTCAAGAAAGTAACGCCGTTACCCTCATTTCTGCCTGATGAATGCCTCGAGGGTTGACCCTTTCATTAATTGCTGTCCGCGTGGAGCTGGAAACTTAGTGCCGTCGCTCGAAAACTTTCTAGCTTCCGTAGTTTCATGCCACTTCCTTTTTTTCATCAATGTCTTGCTCCGGCCGAGTAGCGTCAGTGATCATATTTAGACGAGCGAGAAATTTACTATTCGAATGTAATTTTTTGGAGGTTAGAATGAATTAAAACGTTAGAATGAATTCGCAGAATGAATGGTGAGAATGAATTCGTGGCAGTACTTTGTTCAAATCAATATCGATTTTTAGTGCAACAAGCTAAGTTTTCGATAGTAAAGATATGAGTGTCGGATTTAATGTTTAATTTTCAAGTATCAATAAAGTAACCATTTTTCGAATCATTAAGTTGACCAAATGATCGTAAAAGCAGCCACTCGAAGGAGAATCGGCCTTCTTTGAAAAAATTGCAGAATTGTTGGTGTTAAATGTTTAATTGTTTTCCCGATTAATTATTGCGTTTGAATCAAATACGCGATTTAGTTTAAATTGCTTCTCCCGTTCTCCATTTAACTTAAGCTGTTCAAAAAATTACAAAAATTTATGGTTATTGATTTTTGCATTTCTGCGAAAGCTTACAAGAGCAGTTTCACTTTACTTGCAACACTTTTTAGGAACTTTGTGTAGGTATATTTGCAAATCTGATTAAAATTTTTTTTCATTTTTTTATTTGAAGTTTTTGTGCGTCATTTTTTTCTCCGTAGGTCATTATTGTTTCTCATTTTCATTGAGTTTGTTTTTGTTTGCATTCCTCCCACCTCGTGTAGGCACCGGCCACTACTCGTACGCTAACAGTGGCTGCCTCCTGGCGTCCCTTCCTTCAGGCGCCGATGTGCCGCGTAATGCGTACCACATCGTGCGTCCCTCTGACGACAACACCACTTCCATCATTCGAGGGGACCACGGCACGCATAAAGCCATCCCTGAGATCTTCCTCACTCGCCTCCTCTCCACTAAGGGAACTATTCAACAATTCGTAGACGACTTTTTCCGCTCAATCTTAAGCCCAAATGACGGTCTACCACCACCTGTCAAATGGCTCTTCGATTTGCTCGACAGTGAGGCCCGCGTTCACGAAATTAATGATCCCGAGGTTGTTCACGCATGGAAATCCAATTGCCTTCCTCTCCGTTTTTGGGTCAATTTCATCAAGAATCCTGATTTTGTTTTCGATGTTTACAAGTCGCCAACCGTTGAAGCATCACTGGGAGTCGTTGCACAAACCTTCATTGACTCATGCGCCACAACGGAACATAAATTAGGCAAAGATTCTCCTTCCAACAAGCTGCTCTTCGCAAAAGATATCCCTCGCTATAGATCTATGGTAAGTCAGTTTAATTCAATTTTCTTCCTAATGAATTTTACATTATTGAATGTACTAAAGAGTAAATACTTTGAATAAATATATTCATTACACATGACTCTACCGGCGTGTGACATTTTGGTCTTCATGCTCGTTACAGGTGAAAAACTTCTACCGTGACATAGCAAGCTCCCAGCCTGTTAGCGACCAGGAGCTCGGTCAGCTGCTGCAGCAGATGTCGGTAGCACACATGGGCCAGTTCAATAACCTAGCTGCCCTCAAAGAGCTGTACATCTACATCAGTAAATACAGCTTGCCGGTAAGTATTGTACCCCTCTTCTGTTTCAGCAAAAAATTAAAAAGGTTGAGGAGTTTTTTAATAGAAAATTTTAAATGGCTGTGTAGCACTGATAGCATTATTATTATTTTTTTCAAATATCCTTCGCTGACGAAGTCAGATGCTTAAACGAAAAAAGATCACAGTTCGAAAAAATTGTTAATCTCTCGTTCATTTTGTCATAATTCTCATCGTTAGCGTGGATTAACGATTATTACCCCTCATCTTCTTGTTATAGGTAATATTATACGTATTCTTAACTTGGTATAATATTTTTCCCCAGATCTTAGAGTCCCTGGAAGCTGATCCCTGCTGCAGGGAGCTAAATTTGGCGCACAGGCTGCAGGCGATTCACTACATCGTGGAATCCTTCAGTCACTCTGGTCCCGTTTCGCCTCTACCGCCGTCACAACACATCACTTCTCCTTCTCATGTGTACCCTCCTACTTTCATTAGTTCACCTACACAGCTCACTTCAGCCCACTTGGCTACTTTACCTCACGTCACCCCCACATCGTCGTCAGGAATGCACATCATGCAGGCCATGCCACACGTCTCTTCGTCTCCTCACATTACGTGTGCGTCACAACACTTGGCTACGTCATGTTCACCCTCCCACCTCTCATCCAGTTCGTCCACTCATGGCCACTTGTCGGCTCTGGAAATGTCGCCTCTACATCATTTGAACCCGACGTCTCAAAATCAAGAGTTTCTTCACCAGCATCATGGATCTACTTCATCCTCATCTCAGTCACACCAAACCCTGCCTTCGAACTCTTCGCAACTTTCGGAGCTATGAAACTTATTCTCTTATGATTACTTTAAGAAAGATATAGTAAAGGAATATTGCGCTGAGTGGCAGACTTGATGGAGTGCATTAGAAAAAGTTTACTACGCGCCGTGTCTTAGCTTAGGACTTAGTGAAGTGTGTTCACCTAGTGATGTGTAGACAAGCGCCCTGTCAGTCAGTGCACTGTGATCAAATATCAATTAAGAGCACTTCGCTCCCAACATTGTGAACTTTTAGTAAATTTATTGAGTCAACTTTTTACTTCTTAACCGTGAGTGCTATGTTAATAACGATGGTTTTTCAATCTTAAATTCGTGTGAGAGGCATTGAAAAGTGATAGTTTGCTAGGCCTCGACAGTACTTACATTATATACTGTAGCAATTGCATAGACTTTTCGGTGTTAGGTGTTGAGTATAAGAAGCTAAGATCATGAACTATGTAAACATTGCCTTTAAACGAGCATGACTTATAAGTCTTCTTTGTGAATACCATTGCCTTAACTGTGGCAAATACTTTGTGATAAAGTCTATTCTTTCTCCATGCGTTGTTGACGCTGGCCCATCGCTGTATTTTCTAGAAGTTATTCTGGTGATAGTTTTAATTGCCGTGCTAACTTATTTAGGTGTCACCTTTTATCTTTTCTGTTGAATTTACTCCTGGACCAGCATATTCGCCGACATTTTTTTTTATTTTCAAGTAACGGATTTCCTATCGTTAAAGCTAACGAATTTCCAAGCCTATTGATCACTGTTGAGGGCTCCATCTTTTGCAGCATTTTTAAAGAAGAGTCTTCGTGATTTAATGATCAATGGCTGATTCTACTTCTATTTGTTAATAATACAATTTACTAAAACTATTGCTGACAAACCCATCTTGCTAAATTTTAACTTCATTTTGAGACAATTTATCATATTTTTGATATATTTTAAAATCGACAATTCTCTGCTTAGCATCTGGTTTAAATGGCGATAATTGCTTTTTATTTCAACTTAAATAAGTAACAGTACGTTTTCTGTATGTGCGCCAAGCATTGCTGTATTTGGATGCCTCTGTGAGGTTAGAATGAATTTTTGTTATTGAAATTGAACTCTTAAGTTCATTTCCCGACTGCGCCAAAATTACACCCTTTTATTTGGCAATGATCTGCCGGAAAATTATTTTAATTGCCTTACGGAAATATCTTGTAAATCAACATATTCACTATCGCTTGTCACATAATTTTACTGTTTCTCGTTTATTTCAGTTGGTTGTTCGTTCCATCTTCCCTAAAAATATATTTCCATTCATCGATTCAGTTTTGTGTATGTTATTTCAAGAAATTACAGCAGTCGAGAAAGCTTATTGGTACATGTAAATAGCATCGGTGCTAAAACTACTGCGTAAATATTGTTATGAATATTGAATTTCGCATTATCTGGTCATTATTATTATTAGTTTACGTAAACGTTAAGCGAAGGTGGCGCCGACACCTTGGCTGCCCTGTTTCTGTTTTTTTTCCTATTTATGGACATTGATTTTTGTAAATGGCTCTTTCTTACTTTTTAAGGCTCTGAAAGCGTTTCTTCATTCCTTAATTTATATATTCACTTGAACTGCTTTCTTCTTGTATGAATAATGGGAAGAACTTCCAAGTAACGATCAGAATTTGAAGGTTTTTTGGTCTGCCTCCATCATGACCCATATTTTTATTTTCAGACAATAATTCAATTATAGTTTTTGCGCACTCGTCACTTTTTATGGATGATGGAAAAATCTACCTAGCTAAAATGTTTCTTTATTATTTTTTTTAATACTTGGTTTGTTTTTTAAACCCATTGTCCAAAAGTTTGTCTTGGATGGACATTCAACTCTTTTATTCCCTCGTGTTCTTATTGAGATATAACGATTCTTTTGAAGTAATCTTTGCCGCCTCAGTAATGCATATAAATTATGCTACACACTTCATAAAATATTGGAATAAAGCTCTTCTCATTTCAAAGCATAATATTTTGACCAAGTCTGAGTAATTTCCCACGCTTTCTGTTTCAGGAGCTTGTTGTTTTGCTCGCCGTGCACAATGAACGTTAAAAATCAACACGATGTCTCCTACAAATTCCTATAACAGTTCTTCACGAATTGACCCATACTGTATATGATGTACAGCAAGCTAACTGTTTTGTTATTCTAAAGTATTTTTGTATATGTTCGAAAAGGAAGGGCATTGTACCATACAGAGAAGTTTACTACAAATAAAATGAGTGCCAAGAAAGATTTTTATAACCCACAAACAAGTGAAGCTGTGCTTCTCAAAACGACAAATTTACATTTTTATTACAGCAGATATGTCAACTATCGTTTGCTATGTAACATCTATAGAATGTAAACCTGAACATCGCCAAGAATTTCTAGAATCTTCTTGAAGAATTTGAAATGGATAACTGATGATGATATCTAAACGTGTTCAACACATAATTCATTTTATCGGCAAATTATGGTTAGATTCGTAGATTCGTTCCAGCCCACTCATTACACTTGAATTATCGAATGAAGTTATTAAACAATCTATTCATTCAACCCTTTTGAACGAGCATTATCACATTTTCGTTCAATCCGGCAACAGAAATATACTCGTACTCAAATTTTCCGGCTTTCAGCAGTGCATGAAATGAATGGAGACCATTATGGGTATGGGATTTGATTTGTGCATCTTTACTTGTTCAACACTTGCAAGAGAAGGCAGATGGCTACTCTTGATCAGAAAGGCGTAAAACAAATATGAGGAGCTCGCGTACGGGCTTTTGGAAGTGGAGGCCGTATGCCGTATGAATGCCGAGTCCTAGGAGGCCTACTATGTTCCACTGGGTAGCAACGGTGCTCCAGTTTAAACAATGGCGCTTCCAACAGGCTGGCTGCCCTTTGGATGCGAAGCTAAGAGTGAAGACTTGTCGTATGGTAATTACTGGATTTGATTATTACCACCGTTGAAAGAATATGCTGTATAATGTAAATGAACTACTTCAAGCTATTATAACCACTGATATTCCACCTAGCTAAATCGCTGATTGCAAAATACGTAATTCATTATAGAAAAATTCTATCGAATATCCTTTCGTTGAAAAAGCCTTAATCTGGTGAAATACTGTCTTGTGTAACTATAGGCGGCTAGTAAACGTATAGATATATATTTTTAAATTAAATTTATTTGCCATATCACGTGCTATATATACTACGTGGAATTTCAACTTCAAATATTTATAGAACTCGGGGAAAGAGAACTTTCAGGTGCCACGCACTGACCTATTGTCTTAAATTTGTAGGGAGGTTACTCCCTACCTGGTTTCTTTCACTTTTTATATTTATCGAGTAAGAATGTCACAGATTGATTTAATCTCGTGTAAGGAGACCCAATCGAAATGCCTATAATTTAATCGCTTGGGGGGCTGCGTTTGCTTTGTTAGGTGCAAGTGCAGCCAACTATTGAGACTAGAGTCATTATTCCTCAACATCTTTTCTCATCAACAGTCAAAAAAGTTTATTCTTCATAATCGGATAATTAAAGCATTTAGTGGTCGGAAATTGACAAAATTCTGAACGAACATAGTAATGAATTGCTTTAATTGTTACGGAACTATCATAATGCAAGTAAATAATCCGCCACGTAATTGCTTTCCCAATTTATTACTCAACTGGATTTGGCGACAGAGAGAACAAAGTTAAAAAGTCCTACAAGTTCCAATTTAACGCATTACATAGATATCACATGCAGACATTCCACGCAATTTATTATAATTGACTTGTTTTTATTATTTTCTGCGCATAATCTGACAATGAAGAAATATACTACGCATTTCCATGCCTGAAAAAAGCTTCTCAGCAACGTTGTGCAAGTTCATCCAGCCTGCTGTGCCCCGATGGAGCTGTAGCTTTTATTCCAGCTAAGAGATTGCTTGTGTATGAATAAACAGCCATTTTCTGGAGATCGCTAGCACAAAAGAAATGCCAGATGATGCACTTGGGACCCAAAAGAGCACTGCGTACGCACACAAATTTACAACTTGAACCAATAAAAGGAAATGCAGCTTGTGGTCTCTCTGGAGTTGTTGTGAAAGGCGGCAAATTTGCTACTGCGTTCAGTGCTGCAGTACTGTAGCGCTCAAAGAGATCCGTGACACTTCTAAGCGCATTCCAATTCTCTTCGCTGACAGCCCTAAACGGCTCCGAGATTGGAGGCGGTGCACTGCAATCTAGGGAGAGACTGAAATTGAATCTGCTAAAATAACAATGAGCCATAACTGGGCGAACGGGCACAGCTTGTTTGTCAGAACTTGTCAGGATTGTTGAGGATAGAATTTTATTCGAGTCTCAGCCGGTAGAAATACTGGAAAGCTAAAATATATATGAATGCACGTTTATTTAGTTCCATGAAATAATGTCATTGTTGTTAAATTCTGACTGAGATATTTTAGAGTTGCAAGCTTTAAATTTTACAAGAGTTGATGTTTGCCATATTTCTATGCATTAACCAATTTGAGTTTATTTTATCGAAAATAATGTCAAGACCGGATTTTTTTAATGAATGATATTTGGGTATACGGAAGAACAGTCCCTGGTATTCTTTTCATTTGGAAGATCTTGAGGCGAGCCGTGTATATACGGCGCGACTTTTGTTAGAAGACTCCATGTTTTCCCGAACGTCTCATTCATCTCGGCACGAGAAAGCTGACGGGCTTCGTGTTACCTGTTCTACAAGACAGCTGCTCAAGCATTGCTGTATACCGCTCATCTTGCCTGACGACGGAATGCCTGCAACCGCGGGCCATACACAAAAAAATTCCTCCTATATTTTGATCATGATTAGTTTATCAACTTGGTTGAATTAGCGATGTTGTTCTGCCTTACAGACAATAAATTTAGAATTTTTCTCGTCATGAGCTTCATGGAATTACGAAAATACATACTCATTTAATGTTGCTGCAAACATCTTTGCTAAGCTATACTTAATATCCAACCAAACTAATTTTTGTACAGAGAAAACTACGCTACATTTTTAATTGTTATCGTCGACACTTTGCGGCGGTATAAATTATTTACAGGAGGGCCGAGATTCAAATGAAGAGACAACTCAACTTTAGCAGGGACCTAACAATGGAGCAATTACTTAGGATATTCGCAGATATTTTAATTAGTTTTTGTGAAAATCAAGAGATTTCAATGGTTCACAAGCATGGCAGAATAAAAGATCGTGCTCCGTGCAAATATGACATGAAGCCGATTTCATGTTTACAGCAACCACTTCAGTCTAGTGTCGATTGATAGCCTATCCAAAAAATTGTCTTTATCTGAAAATAAAACCGTAAAAAGAGCTGGCTATAGTGAAATACATTTTTTCAATAGCTAGGTCAGTACTGAAGACGTTTTTCATTCGAACCAAATTCCTTAGTAGGTATTAGTTTGATTATATTCAAATACAGGGAGCTAAACCAAGCACATGCTTGAGCAATGAAATTGATGACGAGCTCCCATCAATTCCATCTTGAAGCGAACAGCACATGCTGATCTGTGTAAATTTACGTATAGCAATGTGTACATTTAACTATATCAAAATAAACTATGATGTTCCAAATAAAAACAGAAAATAGTCTTTATATTTACGCTATGGAATAAATCAGTCATGGAATTCATTGTGTTTAAAATATTTTAGATTTTAACGCAAAAAGAAAAATAGATAGAGTTTACCATCCGAACCGAAGAAAACGCGTTATTGAGGGGATACTCCTGATTTTTTTTTGTCCCGTGGCCTTTAAATAAACTTCCTTCCTAATGGAAATTCTGGTTCAGATGAAGTTTTACATTTGATCCAATTTCAACCAAAAGATTTTATAATTCAAAGGGAAAAGGGTAATATTATTACAACGGTGCCAGAGGATGTTGTATAAATTATAATGGCTGATCGTGACACGTATTAGGACTGATTGAGCTCTGATATTTTGGTGCTTATAGACATTACTATTTTAATAATCTTAATTGATATTGCTCTAACTATTAATTTGGATGATGTTTTCAATGTCTTAAAAATACGATTTTTTTAACAAGTAATTCTTCTGCATGCAGGTTACTAAATCAAAATTACACGTAAAAATATACGCCTTGTAAAATGCTTCACTTGCTGTAAAATTGTTCATCATTCATTACTTAACATTACTAGAAGACAAAGCCAGTTTTCAAGGGTGCAGAATTCAATTACGCAGGGTATAATTTTCCTAATGATTCTGCCACCTGCGCACGTCAGCAGGGTGGCGGCTACACTTATTCATCCGAGCGTGTCAGCGCTTATAGGCAACTTTGTTTCAATCCAAATCACTCACACCATTGGAGTCAATGTCCAGCAAATATGATTAAAATGTATATACTAGGCATTGTCTTGAGACATCATCCTTTGAATTGTCTGAATAATATTAGAAGAGACAACTCAAAAAATTTCCAGCAAATACGATTACAAAGTATATACTAGACATTGTCTTGAGCCATCATACTTTGATTGAATTGTCTGAATAATATTTGAAGAGACAACTCAGAAAATGTCCAGCACTTATGAGAACAGTGTATATACTAGGCATTGTCTTGAGCCATCATCCTTTGAATTGTTTGAATAATATTTGAAGAGACAACTCAGAAAATGTCCAGCATATATGATTACAGAGTATATACTAGGCATTGTCTTGAGCCATCATCCTTCAAATTGGCTGACTAATATTTGCTAATACCAAACATTTATAACCACCTATACATGTTTGAAGAACTATCCAATATATTTGATTTAACCTATTCATCAAGATGTTATTTGAAATTAAATTTACATAGGAAATCAACGCTATTAAGGATTTACATCGTTACGATTAGGACGGTTGGAAAGTTTAAAGGATTAATTATAATTGTTGTCTTCTATGAAATTATTTGATTTATGATGTTTCTTTTTTGGGTTAGTTATCATACACAATGTCTAAAATAATTTGACCTTAAGCAGCCAAAAATATATCAATAACGTAGCCCACATGCTACGACAGAAGCTGAATTCTATAAGGCTCAGCGAAAATTGTGGGCTAGGAGTTTCGTCATTTACAGTACTTCGATTTTCAAATCTAAAGAACATTGACCTCGTGAAATAAAGTACACTCAACAGCATCTAATTAAATCGATTTAAATAATCGCTTACATGTAATTTCAAACATAAACTGTTGCTTGTAGTAAGAATAATATCCCATAACATGC